GAACAGCTTCGCTCCGGGGACGGCTCCCGCCGCCGAGGTGGGCTCCCTGCCCGACGGGGAGATGGCCTCTGCCGGGAGACGGCCTGGTGAGCCACGCGGGGCTGTGCTGAGGGAACCCAGCACTCACCTGAACGCAGCACCTGAGCGGGAGAGAAGGGAAGGGAAAGACAGCGTTACAAACAGGCCCCGGAGCAGCCCCCCGGGCTGGTTTTACTGTACGAGCCCCGCCAATCCCGCCTGCAGCAGGGTGGTCTCCACAGCCACGCGTAGAGACACGGGCACGAAGGTCACACGGGGAGGGGAGAGGGCCCAGCACAGTGCAGCTCACTGGAGAGGGCAAGGGGAAGCCCCGGAGCAGCCCCCCGGGCTGGTTTTACTGTACGAGCCCCGCCAATCCCGCCTGCAGCAGGGTGGTCTCCACAGCCACGCGTAGAGACACGGGCACGAAGGTCACACGGGGAGGGGAGAGGGCCCAGCACAGTGCAGCTCCCTGGAGAGGGCAAGGGGAAGGTGCCCGAAGCCCTCAGCCAGGGAACGGCCTTGCGTTTCCACCCCGTCTGCCCCCAGGGCTTTGACCGGGAGCAGGATGAGACCCCAGGGCTGGGGTGATGGTCACTGCACCCCAGAAAGGACAAGGTGGTTGGGGATAAAACCAGGCCACCCCAGGAAGGAGAGCTCCCACCTCTCAGGCACAAGAGGGGACTGTAGTACAAGATGACCCCGGTGACGGTGAGCACGGCCAGCAGGGACAGGACCACCACGGCGCCCACGACCCCAACAATGTTCACCGGCTCTGCAGAGAGAAGAGGGGAGGCAGGAGGCCAGCTTGGCACCAGGACATGGATGGACGAGGAAATCTCAGCGCGAGTGGTAACGCAGGTCCCAGTGCCATCTCGGCTCCCGTTTCCCACCACTGCAGCCGTCCCACCAGCACAGCAGTCGAGGGTCTCAGGCCCTTGTGCTTCACTGGTACAGCAACCACCCCAGCAAGGCCCCTGTTTTTGTGCCCATGTGCATTTAGCGACAGCAAATCAACCCCTGCCTGCTGCACCTCGAGCAGCCCAGACCACAGAGGTGCTCCTCCGTGCTCACAACCCGCAGGAGGGACCAAGGGCGCTCCTCTCTCAGGCCCACCACGCCGAGGCGAGGGGAATCGGGGGTTTTCACCCCGAGAGCAGTCGAGGGTCTCAGGCCCTTGTGCTTCACTGGTACAGCAACCACCCCAGCAAGGCCCCTGTTTTTGTGCCCATGTGCATTTAGCGACAGCAAATCAACCCCTGCCTGCTGCACCTCGAGCAGCCCAGACCACAGAGGTGCTCCTCCGTGCTCACAACCCGCAGGAGGGACCAAGGGCGCTCCTCTCTCAGGCCCACCACGCCGAGGCGAGGGGAATCGGGGGTTTTCCCCCCGAGACAAAGGGAGCCAGTCCTGCGTCTACAGTCGCCGCAGGAGTCCAGAAAGCATTGTTGGATATTAGGAAAAATGTCTTTACTGAGAGAGTGGTCAGGCATTGGACCAGGCTGCCCAGGGCAGCGGTGGAGTCCCCATTCCTGGAGGGGTTCAAAAAATGTGTGGATGTGGCACTTTGGGACATGGCTTAGCAGGCATGGTGTGCTGGGGTGATGGTTGGACTTCATGATCTTAGAGGTCTTTTCCAACCCATGATTCTATGATATGATTCTATGACAAGCAAAGAAGGCTCTCGGTGGTAAACGGAGCCCTTTGGGGCTCACCAGTGGCCCCTCGTGAACTGCGTCCCCAACTTCACCTCCATCCCTGCCGCGGCAACCCCGGGCAGCCCCACTCACGCTTCACCGTCAGGCAGACGAGCAGCTCCCTCAGCCCCACGGGGTTCTGCGCCTTGCAGACGTAACAGCCGCTGTCGGTGCCCTGCGAGCAGTTCTGGATGGTCAGCCGGGACACGTTGCCCTCCTGGGCGATGAGGAACCTCCCGCCGGGCTGGATCTCCAGCTCCGGCTGGGCGATGCCCCGCAGCCAGGTGAGCCTCGCCGCCGGCGTGCTCTCGGTCACACGGCACGTCAGGGTCACACTGTCACCCACGAAGCAGGTCTCCGGGGGCTCCGATTCCAGCGAAGGGATTTCTGAACAGCCCAAGGGGGAAAACAAAAAATAAAAAGGAAAGAGTCAAGGAGGGAACAGAGGTGTTCAACATAACAAGCAATCAGCCATCTGACTGATTAATAACCATTAACAGGAGGAAGTCCCAGACAGAAGTCTGGGACTTGAGCACCGTGGGTTTGGCGCTCAGCTCGCTCACAAGACTTCAGTCACCCTCCAAGGAGCGATCCGGGCAACTTGACGTTGCTCAGTCCTTTTTTTGACACTTGTCTTGATATCCCCAAGGAAAAACGGTTGAGGGGGAGCCAGCAGGAAGACAGCAGAGAGGAGAAAGGCAGCCCAGGAATTTTCCTTGGGATCAGCAGAGCTCTTCTGTAGCTCTGACAACACTTGTCTGATAAATACAGTTTTAAATACAGAAGCTGTTTAACTTCTTCATCAATGACCTGGATGAAGAGTTAGAGTGCACCCTCAGCAAGTTTGCTGATGACACCAAACTGGGAGGAGTGGTACATACACCAGCAGACTGTGCTGCCATTCAGCGTGACCTGGACAGGCTGAGAGCTGGGCAAAGAGGAACCTGATGAGGTTCAACCAGGGCAAGGGCAGGGTCCTGCACCTGGGGAAGAACAACCCCAGGCACCAGTGCAGGCTGGGGCGGACCTGCTGGAGAGCAGCTCTGTGGAGAGGGACCTGGGCGTGCTGGGGGATGACAGGTTGACCATGAGCCAGCAGTGTGCCCTGGCTGCCAAGAAAGCTAATGAGAGACTGGGATGGAA